GATTGCTTTCCTCATGCTCAACCAATGCTTTATGCAACTTCATAATACCATCACCTTTGCACTGGGAAGAAAAGAGACAGTCAAGTGACTATCACATGATGTGACCCACCATGTCATGTGACTTGAGGTTTATAACTAAAGACCGGATGGACTCCAGTATTGGACGATGATTAGCAACTTTACTTGATTTGAGATCAGTGATACAACGCAATATCAACGGATCAATGATTTCTGTGTCACTCAAAACCTAAGACAAGTGTAACGGTAATTCATGTTAAAAAAACCACCTGTTCTTTGGAGCGACCCAATATACTACTTATTAAACCATAACCTAACATCTGAATGAAGAGGTAAAGGTATGTAAGAACTAGAAATTTGGTACTCTTACCAATCTGAAATGATTCCCTGGAGTTTGTACATCATTAACAAGACTAGGTAAAAGCATTAGACTAATATCCTAACAAGAATTAATTTTAAAAAGCAATAAGATAGCCATACTGGAAATCGATCAGAGAGAGTGGTAAAGAACAGATTGGGTACATTTGAATTCCTACAGTGAACAAACAATAAGTAGTGTATGTGTACATACCAATGATGCTTACTTTTTAGTGATGACGTATAAGAGCTTTACTACACAAATCTCTAACCTTTTCCACTTGCACTCCACCTTTTTATATTGAATTAAAATCTTGACTTTGATAATAAAAATTGATAATTAATCTGTACTGGGACACAAGCTGGGAATGAAACTACATGCGTAACAACTTATGTTGTGCATGTTATCAGCACAATTTGGTCACTTTTTGAGAGAAATTTTAGCCCGGTTGGATTATACATTATTGTGAGGTATGCTAATGATATTCATTGCCTGTCCTATAAATGCAATGTACCGGTATGTTATTCCCTATTCTTCATAATCATGAAAGCAGCAGCAACTCTTCTTCTCTTTCTCACACTAGCTGTTCCTCCTCCTTTGGTTAATTCTCAGTCACTCATCTCTTCATCTCTATCCAGTACAGTGACTCATATTGCTGTTAGTACTAATGGAGTCTTTGTGAGCACTGCCAATCAAGTACACCGGTTCTCTTCTACCCTACAACAATTAGAAGGCTCTCCTGACACTCCTGGTGGTGCTATTGATGGACTAGCTAGTACACCTGATGGTGAGTGGTGTATAGTGTGTACTGATGCTGGTGGTATAACATGTTCTGTTCTTAATGGATCTAACCTTGAAGCTCCTGCTAATAGAACAGAGGTTCTTAACAATGGGACTGCTAGTAGTCTAGTAGTGTTCACTGGAGGAAATGGTAACAGCTTTTACACTGGGAGCATTGTTAATAATCGTATTCTATATCATCAGTATGGGTTTGCTGTTAGCACAGTGGAAAGAGCTGCTAATTCTGTAGATCAAGTATCTTCAAATTTTGATCGTAGATTTGTGAGTGGTTTCTTTGCCTTAGGATATGCTTACTATGTCACGAATGATCCTCCAACAAGTGGTACTAGCAGACGGCTTCGTATAATAAGAGTATGTAATGACAGTGCAGGTGATGGTTTCAATAATCAATATGAATTGACCTTAGGTTGTGATGGTAATAACGGTTTCTTTAATCCTACTCTGATTGGCATATCAGTTATTAATGGAGAGACATTGTTAATAGCAATACGTACTGAATCAGTGGATGATGTATGTTCATACAGTCTGTCTGAGATTAACTCTTTAATGGATGCTGCTTATCAATCATGTGTAGTTGATGGGACTGGTACTAAGAATATCTTTTGGCAGAGTTCTGCAATATGTTCTGGAGGATTGCCTGGACTAAATGGAACTATTGTGAGTTTAAATCTGGACTTGATATAATTATACCTCCCAACACAACAGTGTAGTATATCTGATTCAAGAATTGGTACTCCAGCTCCTGCAGTTGGTGTATCAAACCCTCTCACTTCCACTGGTCTAGTTACTAACAGTACTATACTGACTGGATTAACTGCTATTGTTGGAGTGTCCATTGATAACATTGATTTCATTTACTTTGCATTTACAATAAATAGCAATAATTATTACATCAATAAGGTTAGTAGTTGTGTTACAGTCTTTTTACAGTTTAATATAATCCTACAGTATCGCTTGGTCAATAGTACAACCCTCACATTTATATCTGAAGTTACACCAACCTTTTCAGTGACATCATTATCCTGGTCTCAAGGTTCAGAGTATGTGTATGGTAGAAGTGGTTCTAATGTAAGTACCGGTATAATGATTAGTATGCACTACTAGTGTTGTTGATGATGCAAGTGTTTATGTATACATAACTAAGTAATGGCTCATAAGTTATGTAAAGTATATGGGTTAGACATATAAATGCTACTACAATTAGACAATGAGTCAGACCATTGTATGTCATCACAAATAATTCTCCATTACTAATTACTATACCAGAATCATCAGAATGTTAATAATAAATTACTACACACTGCATTAGGTGATTGCATTAAAGATAGAGGATTGTTCCAGTGCTACTAGTTGCTCTGAGTGTGTTAGTTTAGGTGATCCATTGTGTGGTCGGTGTATGATAGAGAACAAGTGTTCACGTAGGCCATTCTGTCAGGATAATGATCAAACAAGACGATACCTAACACAAGGAGACAGTAGTTATTGCTTTGATGCAGTATCTATTAATCCAAGTACTTATGTAATAGATACAGAGCAGCAACCTCATCAGGTATGTATCATTAGCAATGGTGTGATATTGAGTTCTAATCTCCTTCCTCTTTTCTGTTTCTTTCTAGGTCAATTTGACATTTTCACCAGCTCCTCCTCCTCCTACATTACCAGGGGAAGGATATTTTTGTGTTTTTAATGGTATCATGAGTCCATTGGAACTATCAATGGGTACTAATACTGGTAGCTGTTCAGTGCAAGGTATAGTGTCTCAGGTCAATGGCATACAACTAGGTAATAACTTTTATCAGTATTCATATTTATTGTTACTCCTTTCATGTACTTTTTAACTGATACTTCTCTTCAGACACTACTTTTAGTATATACAGTAATAGAACTAATGTGAATTTCTATACAAGACCTTCTAATTATACTTTCTATAACTGTCCTACAGCATTAAAGTGAGTTGATGAATGTGTGTATGCACTTAGAGGTAGCAAGATACCATAAATGTGACTGTTATTGATTATGTAATATGTGAATTATGTAAACAATCCATGCTTGAGTGTTGTCCAAACAATAACACATTAAGCCACAGGCAGTTTTTGAGTTGTAAAGCTGTTTTACTGGTGTCTGCATCACAACTGAAAGTGGTGTATAAATAACATACTAATTTGAATGGAG